GTACAGCTCCTACTGCAACTTGAGAGGCGTCCGTGTACAAAATCAGGGATGCCTTCGGGTTGATGTGGGAAAGCATGACAACCTTGGATAACGCTTCTTTAGCGTTAACGAATGCTTCTTTCGCTTGATTTGACAGTTGAAACATTTTTGGATAGCATTTGAGAAGATCGGTTAAGGGCTCTACAATCGAGGCACATGAAGGTATAAAACGTCGATAGAAGTTAAACATCCTCAAAAAACGTCTGACCTTCTTGAGTGAATCTGGTTCGGGGAAATTTTTGATGATCTCCATCTTTTCCTCCATAGGCCTAATACCATTTTCGGTTATGTGGTGTCCTAAAAACTGTATAGAGGAGACACCGAATATGCACATTTTGGAATTAATGGCGAATTAATATTACAAAAATCTCTGAAATAAGGTGGTGAGGTGATCTGTATGTTCTTCAACAGACGAGCCAGCAGTTAAGACGTCATTGATGTAGACAAATACAAAATCTAAACCTTGCGTGACCTGATCCATGAAACGTTGGAAGGATTGAGCAGCGCGCAAATTGTCACTGCATGGTTGTTCCGTACGAGTAAGTTGATTAACACGTAGAAAGCTGTAGGTTAGCCATTTTAGATCATTGACAGTGCTTGTATAAGATGCTGTACAGCGTCTTGTTATGGTGACAGTGGATTTCATCAAGGATTCTGAGCCATTACTATCCAAACCTCGAGGGATGATATATGAGTAAGTGATCTCAGTTGTTTCTCACCTTCAGTCGGAATGTAGATCTGTGCAACTTCTACTACAAGGCAAATACAACAGAAGAGGCGAGCAGCAAAGTACCAGAGGGCAGAGAAAAAGTATGTGGAGTGGGACATATATGTTTATATTCGTTGTGCACTGTAATTTAGTGAACAAGTATTTATTTCTACTAAGTCTTTTTATGCATCTATGCGACTAGTTTATTTATAGTTTTTAGAGTAATAAAAGTATTTGAGCGTGTTGTTTAGGTGCTGTGGTAGACTAATAGTTGATTCGTTCTAGGAATAAATAGTTTATTTATATAATCAGTAGAGTGAAACCGTCTATACAGAGAGCGTTTGAAACTTATAACTGAAGAGCAAGTCCTGACATCTAGGGTCAGGCTATTCCATATTTTAGAATACATGATTGTGAAGAAGTTTCCGCGGAGTGTTGACTTAAAGGCTTTTATTGTCACTGTGCAATTTTGGTTACGCAGATCGCAAGAGCCTTCTTTTGCGAATTGTATGTCCTTACTGTCCGAGAATAATATTTTGTGAAGGACCTTAAGGAAGAATTTTAGATTTATAATGTGTTGTCTCGTCCAAAGTGGGTCAAGTTTTAGGATCATGCAGCGTGAGATGTAGTCTTTCGTACAACCGTAGCCAAGTAGTTTGGAAGTTAAATATCGTTGGATACTTTCCATCCTTAGCTTGTCACGTGTGCGAGTGCTGCTCATAATAAATGGACAGTATTCTAGTAGTGGCCTTACACATGTTTTGTAAAGAATGAGCTTGGCTTCATTGTCGTGAAAGTTCCTGCGTACGCATCCAAAGAGCATCCTCGACTTTCGAGTCTGTGATGCCACTTGCTCAGAGAATGTTTGGTCACTCGAGTGCCTCAGGCCTAAGTCAACGACACTTCTTGGTCTGGCTAGGTTAGCATATTGAAGCGTTAATTTCAGGTCAATTGAGGGTGCGCCGAAGCAGATCCAGCCACATTTGTTCAGGTTAAACTGTAGATTCAATAAAGACGATCAAGCAGTCACTTTATCTAATTCTTTCTGCACAACATTCTCTAAGTACCCTAGTTCATCACCTTGGAATGTATAAGCTACTTTTAGGTCATGTGCAAAGATGAATGGTTTCCCATGTGAGAGGCAAGCGCATATGTCATTGATATATGGTGTATATAGGAGGGGCACAATGACACTACCTTGTACTACACCAGATATGATTGGGCTGGGTTTCGAATTTTTAGATCCGAGTTTAATGGTTTGGGACCTATTGTTGAGGAATGATTTGAGCCATCCTAATATTGGGTCACGTATTCCTAAGGATTTCAGCTTATGTATTAGTAGTAAATGTTCGACACGGTCAAATGCCTTAGAAATGTCAAAGTAGATGACGAGTGCTAGTTGTCGTCTGTCACGACTGCTGGTCACAAAGTTAAAGAAGTCTAGGTGGCATGTTAAGCAAGATCTGGATTTTAGGAATCCATGTTGGTTCGGACTTATAATGCTGCAGCTAAGTATATGCTTAATCAGGTTGTCTTTAACTAGTCTCTCCATAATTCTAGATGCGATAGGTGTGATATTGAGCGGCCTGTAGTTACTGACTTCTGTTTTCGAGCCAGATTTGTGTTTGGGCATAGTAAACGTTGTTTTCCACATATCAGGGTAAGTTTGGGTTTCTAGGGACATTGTGAATATTTTAAGCAGTAGTAAGGGAATGTCAGGGCCACCATATTTATTAAAATAGGATGATATACCGTCAGTACCGAAACCTTTTGAGCATTTTAGGGTTCTTATAGTTTGTTTAATGTTAGTATAAGTAAATTCAACAGTACTGATTAAGTTTGGTGTGTGTGGAGATGGAGTTTGTGCGACATTAGTAGCAAGGTGTATATTGAGTAACCGGACTGTGGGCTTAAGGTAGTTACCTGCAAATGTTGAGTTAAATAATTCACACATGTCTGCAGAATTAGTGCATAGCCTACCTTTGTCTATGAGGAGGGAAATGCTGTGATTTTTGCGATTCATTCGCTTCTTTAAGATTTCTTTGAGTGCATACAATCTAGCAGGACTGGCTACTGCGATGCGTTCTTCGTTTCTCATACGGAAATTTCGAGCTTGTGAGATGGAACTAAGGGTGTTAAGTATTAAACCTAGTGTGCCAAAGTCGTGGTGTTTGAAGTAACTTGTCGAGAGTCTCTTCAGTTTCATACGATCCTTTGGTTTTATGAATGACTTTCTATGTGGGGGAAGCTTAAGTGTTTGGAGTGGAATGACAGCATCTAAGCATGTGTTCGAGTCATGGTAGAAGATACTCAGAGCTCTCGAGAGGTCATCAGTAGGGAAGCATTCGCTCCATTCGGAGGATCTTAGCACTGATTTTTACTAAGGTCCAGTTTGCCTTACTATAGTTCCTATACAGTACTTGTTGTGAAGTGGAGGTATGAGCTGCATTGCTATTCAGTGGAAGTGGCAGAGCACACATAACTGTTTTGTGGTCACTACCTGAAGACTTAGAACCCACTAAGATTGGGAGCGGGCTTATATCGTGACAGGATATTAAGTCTAGTACATTGTCACCTCTTGTAGGGATAGTGACAGTTTGTTTCCAGCCGAAAATGTCCAGTGTCCCTAAGAGCTTGTCGTATTTAGTTGGCCCTTTTAATAAGTCCCAGTTGATTTCGGGTAGGTTGAAGTCTCCACATATGAACTTATGCTCGTATGGAAGAGTGGATACTTGCCCCAGTACATTTATAAGTTGTGTCTCGTAATCACTAAAGGTGCCAGGTGCTCTGTAGATACATCCTATTAGTAGTGTAGCACTTTTGAAGTGTACGTTGACCCATAGGGTGTCGTGCATGTCATTGAGTTCCTTATTTTCTAGCTGTAATACAGTAAGTGCGTTCAGGAAGTACATTAGGCAGCCTCCTCCCTTACCACTCTTCCTGGCACAGCGAAAGTGTATGTACCCTTCGATGCTTATCTCTTCGTCTGGTATATTGGAGTGACACCAGGATTCGGTAATAACAATTGTAGGGGGTTTGTATACCAGCGTGTGTGCCCTGAGCATCGGTAGATTGTTGAGGATAGATCTAGCATTATTAATTATTAAGTAGAGTTGAGATTTGAAGTAGTGTTTGAAGTGTTTAAGCTCGTCAATAAGGTTCAAGCGTGGATCGGCATCCACTGTTTCCGCGTGGCATAACATCCCTGTGTTGCAACCAGTTTGTTCACCTATGTCTGTGGAGCTACTATCAATTTTTTTAGTGAGTAATGGGTTTGATTTTGAGATAAACTATACGATGACGTAGTTCTAGGCTTAGGTAGGTTGGAGTTTTTATTTGGCCTATGCTTGTACAGTCATTGGGTGTGATTAATAGTTCCGTGTGTACTAGCCCATGTCTGTTTTCTTCCCGATAGGGGGCTGACATTAGTGGTACGGGTTCAGAAGGGTTAACATCCCCACCAGCTGTTTGTTTAGCGCTGACAGGGATGTGTCGGAGAAAAAATCATTGGAACCTTGTGATGCCCATGGCTTGTTAATCTGCCTATTGTGTAGGGACATTCCAAGAGACCTAACATGGGTGTCGTTATATGCATAGCTGCACTGTGGTTTGTTTCACAGAAGACTTGTTCCGTATAATCTGCCAAGGTTAGTTTGTGTCATGCTTTGTAGACCCTGAGTACCTGGTGGCTGCGCTCCGAGTTTTGTGAATTGTAGAACATATTTATTTTCGAATATTAAATAGAAAATGGACTATTTTTACAATATTCAAGTTGAATACACGCACAAAATTACATGGAGAATTTCTTTAATATTACATAATTGTAAAAAAAGAAAGAAAGAAAAATAGAAGAAAACTTGCACAGCAGCCCATGTTATTTCCAATAATATGTACTTGACTTGGCACAGTATGCGAGTAGGTTGTGTCGTTGTTTTCCTTGGACTCTATGCCCTTATTTTTGTTTTTAGTTTGGTTGCTGGCATGGTTTTGAATATTCTTTACCTTAAAGCGTGAGTTATTCTTGGTAGTCTGAATATGTTAGGGATTCTTCGCAACAAGTGGCGTATTTCAGCATGTTGTGTTGCCGAGTTCCATTCGCGTTGACACGTTTTGGCTAGGAGAGGATGTTGTCAGCTTACAAGAAGGATTGATTTCCATCTTATGGCTGTCCATAGACATATCTAGATCCACCGTAGAGGGAGGAGAGGTTACTTTAGGAGTGAGACTATAGCTCACAAGTCTTTCGTTTGGTTTCGTTTTCTGTGGAGCTATTTTTGTGAGATTAGAGAGGGGGGGAGGCTATGAGTTCTACCGTGTTGGTAGTGTGTATATCTATTTTAGTGGCTTGCGGTGTCTTGCCATTTGGTTTATTAAGGTGATTGTAAGCACGCCTTTCAATCACTGTCTTATCTGCTACAACTTTTATCTGTTTGTAGCTTGTGTCCTGTAATAGGATACGTTGTGGGTTGGTGAATTTTTTAGCCTCTCTCTGCGTTTCGAACTGAAGGCGTATAGGACAGCAGTGGTCGTGCTGACTCTTCTTCAATCTGTGACATTTTGTTTGGGAGTTAGGCATTTTCGCCGCCCTAAGTAAGATGCTTTGAACCTTTTTCAACCCCTCAGTATCTGGTATATTGTAGACAATTACACTTAGTTTAGTATCAAGTCTTTTGATAACCTCTGTTGTGATGAAGTTTATCAAGGTGTCTGCCTTAGTTACTGATTCTGTGTCAAGTTCGCCAGGGTTTATGGCCTTAGTCAAGATGTTCAGAGGGGCAAGTTCACAGACCTGTGATTTTATATCACTAATATGTGTTGATAGTTCAGATAAATCGGCCAAATTTTCTGAAAATCCTGCATTCATAACTTTACTACACCTTATGTCCCGCATCTCAGTCTTCAGTTCTTCTACAGACAGCTTTAGTCGTTCTATTTCTGAAGTAAGTGTTGGAGCTGGACTTGGTATCTGAAGTTTTGTGACACGTACATAGGGTGAAGTGAAGAGGTTTAGGCCAGGACCAGGTGCTGAGTTTGTAGAGGCGATGCTACTGCTGGTTGTCAGCAAGTTTCCGCCCTCAGTTTCAACCACAGTAGATGGTAGTGAACCCGCAGCTCGACGCTTGCGGCGTATTGGCAAGCTGTGCACCTCATTTCCATACTTCGTGGGAGTTGTGCTGCTCGTTGTTGCGAGCATATTTGTACTATTAGTCATCACGTTGACAGGTGACTGAGTTCGTGGCTTTTATGCATGACTAATCATAACTAATTAGTGAAAGAGTTACTGGTTAAATTTATGGAACTGGAGAAACACTTGTGCGAGCCTCACAGCAAAAATAGAAATATATAGCGAATCAAGCTAAAATGTAACGCAAACGTCGAACGTGCCGCGTTACGTAGCCTTTTAAATAAATCATTGAAAAAGAGATTCTCTTTGGCGTAGCATCATACTGCACATGTTTTCTGAAATAATAATAAGGAATATTTGTCTGCAAACATGTATTCTCCCTAGTAGAAGTGTAAGGACTGAAGGCCAGAGTCAGGCAACAGATCGTTTGTTCAGGTAATCAACACATATTTATCGATTTTCATGTACATTATTATTATAGATTATTGTTAGCAGATAAACACACTCCTCTGATTGGTGGTTGTTTCTCACTGAACGTTAGTTAGTCTTTCATCTCTTTCTGGCTGTTTCTTCAAGGTCAGTTCATCTGTCCATCCGCTCACTGTGTCCGCCTACGCAAACAAAGTGTGCTGTGATTGGTTGTTGGTTGAGTCAGTCAGTCTTTGTTCTTGATCTTCTTTTCTCATGACCGATATTGGGGACATAAACATTGACGTACATTACTGTCTACCAATTTTGGCTAGAGCACACAGCTCTCACCAGAGTAGTACTTTAAATTTTATATTTTTTGGTTTAAAGAGTGTTTGAAGGGGTTGCATATTGCTTTGAAATTGCTCTGAAAGCTATTTATTTTGAATACATCAATAACAAACAACTCAAGGATCAGATGAGAATACAACACACCTTCATTTTATTTAGGTCGGCATCTTCCCAACCACTGACAAATTGAATAATAGAAGTTAACAGTTTTACTACAATTTTCAGATAACCTTTTAAGTACATTAAAGATAAAATGTGCAATAATAATAATAATAAATAGCCAATATGGTTTATGGATGAATTTTCAACGTTAAGTTAGTGAAATGTTTTGAATTGCTGCTACATACTTATCAATGTAATATGACCAAAGTTTCTTGCATAAAGCAACGGCATAAGCGAGAATCAACAACATATTGTGGTATATGTAAATTATAACATTATAAAAGTGTTAATGTGAACGAATGGAATCTGAATAAAGTGGATTGTGAGTTGAGCTCATTTGCTTAGACATCAAGCATATTGAAGGATAACGTTTTGGTAAGTGATGATGTGACTAAGTAAGTAAGTAAGTAAGTAGCCTAAATGACTTCAGCGACTCAGGCAGGGATTGACTTGTTACCAGTGAATAATATCTTGTTGCTTTAGGATATTAAACTGGTACTTGAATCTATTGACTTGCCCAAGCTCCAAATTGTTGTTGACCTAGAACTCAGGTACTCTAGTGACTTGACATTTTCTGAGCAAGTGGCGACACAGACGCGTAAATCGAGGATGCTCTTAGGATGCGTACTCAGGAATTTCCACAGCTTCGAAGCAAAACTATTACTATATAAAACTTGTGTCAGACCAATACTTGAATATTGTCCATTTATTCTCAGGAGCACTGGCGTAAGTGACAAACTTAAAATAGAAAGTGTCCAACGATACTTCTTCATTTTTTTTCTTCATTTACAGCTTGATTCCACACCGTATTTTCAGTACAAGTATGGAATTTTCAGCATGGATATCGGTTAGCCCAAATTCAGGCCTACCATAGATATCGGGTGTGCGCCAGCAGGGGATCGAACCCCGGACCACGTGCATGGTCGGCGAGAGTCCTAACCACTGTGCCACCGACGCACTTCACGTCTAAACTACTAGGATTTGACTGCGAAAAGGACTACACATCAAGGTGTATAACGCTAGGTATCGACCAACTCTGGATGAGACGACTGAGCATTAACCTGACATTCTTCTTTAAAATCTTGCATAAAATATCATTCTCAGACAGTAAGGAGATACAGTTCTCACCGGAAGGCTCTTACAACCTTCGTAACCAAACGTGCACGGTATCTAGGAAAAACTGTAAGACAGCACTCCGTGCAAACTTCTTCATAGTCATGTACTCTAATATCTGGAACAGTTGACCCCTAGAAATGAGGACCTGTCACTCTATCATAACCTTCAAACGCCTGCTATATAAACTGCTTCATCCAAATGACTATGCCAATCACACCACACCACTTTTTTCTAAAACGCATGAGCTATTAGAACACTATAACGCCTAGACTCATTACTAAATATTATGACACTAAATAAACTCTGCCGGATCGGCCGTGGCCCGGATTAACAACGACCGCGCTTTCTGCTGCCGTGTCACAGGGCAGAAGTGATAAGTACACTACTGAGACACACCAGGCCGCGTGTGACCGGCCTCAAGCAGATGTCCCCTGGGCTCTGCGGTCACGCAACACTAACCTTTCTTCCATTTCAGGTACCCGAAGACGAAACTCAGGCGTGAGGCCAGCAACCCCACCCTGTAAACAAACCTGCTACAGAAACTTCACCATGAGCAATCTCCTTGCGACAAAAGGGAAAGTCTGTGTGGGGACATGGAATGTCCGCACTATGTACGAGACTGGCAAAGCTGCCCAGATCGCCAGCGAGATGAAAAGATACAGAATCCAAGTGCTGGGAATATGTGAAAGCAGATGGAATGGAAGTGGACTCACCAAATTATCAACGGGAGGGTCAGTGATCTACTCCGGTCACCCAGAAGATAACCACACGCACACCGAGGGCGTGGCTATCATGATGTCACCAACGGCAACGAAAGCCCTGATGCAATGGGAAGCGATCTCGTCCAGGATAATGACCGCCAGATTCAACTCCAAAGGAAGAAAAGTGTCAATAATCCAATGTTATGCACCCACCAACAACGCAGACCTCGAAACGAAAGAAGAATTTTACAGACAACTACAGGCAGCAATAGACAATACTCCAGCTGGCGACATTAAAATACTAATGGGAGATATGAACGCCAAACTGGGACCAGACAATACAGGAAGAGAACTCATCATGGGTAGAGAAGCTCTTGGAGAAATGAATGAAAACGGAGAACTCTTCGCCGACTTCTGCGCCTTCAACGAACTAGTGATTGGTGGCAGTGTTTACAAGCACAGAGATATCCACAAGGCTACATGGGTGTCACCAGACGGGCGAACCAAAAACCAAATTGACTTTATCACAATATCGAGGAAGTGGAGACGCAGCCTACTGGACACAAGAGCAAGAAGAGGAGCAGACGTTGGCTCAGACCACTACCTCGTACAAGGGACAATCCAAATCAAATTAAAAGCTTTCAGGGAAACAGGAGCTGCAGATAGACCACAAGCCAAGTTCAACACTCAAAAGCTGAAGGACCAGGCTACAAAGGACATCTTCATTGCAAACATAAGGGAAAAAGCCGAGACACAAATCAACACCAACGAAAAGGTCAGCGTCGAAAAGCACTGGAACAAATTGAAAACGGTGTGGAGTCAAACCTGCATGGAAGTCCTAGGCAGAAAAAAGAGACAGGACAAACAGTGGCTCTCTACGGACACCTGGAAACTAATAGAAGAGAGAAGGGTAGCGAAACAAAAGATTATCCAGTGCACCGACGAGCAACAGAAACAGGAGTTGAATGCAAGCTACAATGCACTGAACAAAAGAGTGAAGAAAAGTGCCAGGGAAGACAAAAGAAAATATTGTGAAACCATGGCAAACGAAGCAGAACAAGCTGCAGGCAAAGGAGACCTCGCTACACTATGCCAAACAACTAGGCACCTTTCGGGCAAAAGTTCGACAAAGATTAAGCCAATAGAGGACGACAATGGAAAGTCAATCACCAAAGAGGTGGAACAGAGGAAGCACTGGGCTGAACACTTCAAAAGACTTCTAAATCGTCCGCCACCTACAACGCGTCCAACAATACCAACAACGGAAGCAGAACTACCAATGAACATCGACCCTCCGACGAAATCCGAAGTCCTGAATGCCATCAAGATGCTAAAAGCTGGGAAAGCGCCAGGACCAGATGGAATCCCAGCAGAAGCTTTGAAAATAGACCCAGAGAAAACAGCGGACTTGATGACGCCACTACTAGAGAAGGTGTGGAAAGAGGGCAAAGTACCCGAGGATTGGAAGAACGGATACTTATTCAAACTGCCAAAGAAAGGAGATTTGAGTCAATGTAAAAACTGGCGTGGAATTATGCTTCTGTCCATTCCAAGCAAGATACTATGTCGCATCATCCTGGAGAGAATTAAACAAGCCCTAGATGAAAAACTTCGTCCGGAACAGGCCGGATTCAGGAGGAACAAGTCATGCATTGACCAAATCGCCACCCTACGGATTATCATTGAACAAAGTTTGGAATGGCAGTCACCTCTCTATCTCAACTTCATCGATTTTGAGAAAGCCTTCGACAGTGTCGATCGAGAGGTGATTTGGCAACTACTTCGCTACTACGGGGTGCCGCCGACAATTATACATCTCATCCAACAGCTGTATGACAACGCTGCATGCCAAGTAATCCACAACGGGAGGCTCACGGAATCCTTCGAAGTGAGGACGGGAGTGAGACAAGGCTGTCTACTGTCACCAATGATCTTCCTGATTGCAGTTGATTGGATAATGCGGCAGACAACGGCAACCAACGAGGGAACAGGCATAAAATGGACCGACACAAAAGCCTTGGAGGATTTGGATTTCGCCGATGATATATGTCTGATTTCCCACAAACTGGAAGATATGCAAGTGAAAAGCAACAAATTGGCAGAAGAAGCAGCAAAGATAGGACTTCAAGTGAACATAGACAAAACAGAGGTAATGAAGATTCCTGGCCAACATCAACAGCAACAACCGACAACAATCAGCATAAATGGGAGGAACCTGAAGGAAACAACTTCTTTCACCTACCTGGGAAGCATCGTCTCAACTACAGGAGGAACTGACGAGGATATCAAAGCCAGA